TTTAAAAACATGGAAATTATTAAGTCATTTTATAAACAATGTAAAATAATAATAATTGCCAAATAATTCTTCGATACTCATTAATTTTTAATAACAGTAAATTTATTATTACTACATTTGTAAACTATAACTTTCACAAATAAACTATTTATTTTATTCATTGAAATACAAATGAATATTCAAAACAGTAAATGTTTTTTGAGATACGAATTCAAAAATTTTTCGAGACGTAATAATTAAGCGTAAATATAAATATGTATACTTTGTATGAAATATTAATGTCCAGAAGTGTTGCTTGTAAAATGTAACGTAACGTTCGTAAAGAGCGAAATTTAACGTGTTGTTAAGTCTCCATTGTTAAAATTATAAAAACAACACCTATGACACGTTTACATCGAAAATGTAAGGAATGAAGTAAAATAGATTGTCCGTTATACATGGGAAACGGATACATACTCCTGAAGGTTAATTCCTTTCGATAGAAGGATTAGGTAGGATACCGTGAAACGTGTCCGAACGGATTAGCGTGTTATACCTGAATCCAACCCTCGTCACATTTAAACCTCTGACTTTCTTCGCGCCAAATTCGCAAACGCGATGACATAGCCTTCATAAAACATGTAAATTAGATACTAAAAATGTTCACCCACACTGACAGAATATTTAAGTTTATTCATTATGCTGGTGTTCTACTTGAGTTTTATTAACTAATACAAGTTTTATGCATTCGACGACGAGTTATAATTAGCTCAATATTTTTTAATTGTCAAATATTACGAGAATAATCTTGAATCAATTATTGGAAACATTATTTATTCAGTTAAGTACACGTGTTAATCTAAATGCAGTTAAACCATAGAATCTCTTTTGTTTCTAATGAAACAACGACTGTGAAGTTTTTCATAGAACTTGCTCTACTTACCAACAACGAGGAACATTAATATAAATTATTAATCGCACTGTTCACAGATTAAATCACAATCAATTCCCACTTGTGAACTTGTTTGGATATGGAAAAACTATTCGATAAACGTATCAAAGAAACGAACAAAGCATATAAAGCAGGAGTAAATAAAGGTGACAAAGAACTTCTGCACGTAATCTCATAGAAAATTCGGAGAGCACTGGGGACGAGAGTGTTTCAGATCGGATTAACGTCGTAGTTGTAAGCCTAACCCTCCTACGTCCACTCCTTTAGGACCGGGTTACGAAGAACACGCAATACAACATCTTTTTCCTCGGATTTCTCCTTTTCCCCAGCAACGTGCTAATCGCCTTTCTATATATAACAGCTTTATCGAATGGCCAGGCACAGCGTAAGAATCCTACGTGATGGCACGTCGATCGTAATTGTTCGACAAGACAGTTGTACATTTCACGTCTTTTCACACATTTTTCGTTTATGCTTTTCACACGGAAATTAGATAAAATATTTTTACATTAAAAGTTATTCACTCTTTTAATGCCGACTAAAGAAATTGTACCCAAGCGGAGAATGCCGAGCCAATTTGATGTAATTTCATAAGATTTGAGAATAAAGTCGTAGATAAAGGTAAGAATGTTATTTACAAAATTCAAGAGGGGATATATTACGAAATAAAGGGAGAATGAATGAATGCCAATTGTATTTCAATATTTGTTGAAAATTGTATTAATAGTATTTGTTCAAAGGCATTAAGAAAAATGTAAAAATCAGTTTTCTTTTATAAACAGTATTTGCAAATAAGAAGAATCGTCGTTTGGTCATAGTTTGATGTAAAACACGTAGTATAAAACAGATATACTGCGTTTCCAATTATTTAACTAAATTAATTGGAAAACTAACTACACAATTATAATTAAGATAAATCAAATAGTTAAACCCATAAACAATTTTTTCAAATAGTCGAACATCTCACGTAAGACTTCTGAAGTGGAATTCAACCATTTATAACGTTTTATAAATTTATTTTGAGACAGAGATCTCTCACAATGCGAAAAGGGTTAATGTATATTTAATAGAATACTTTTAACCAGTTAACTGTGTTTGACGAGTATACACGTTATCGTAAAGCTTGATACGATACTAATTCTTTCCGCAATGAATTCTTTATATTTTCACATAAACATGTAATTCTTCTTTATTTCGCTTTGATCTTTCATTAAAATATACCCTATGTGTATTCGTCCTGCGTTCGATAAGTACACGCTCCACTTTTTCATTTTATTGCGCGCAGAACGAGGGGTTTTTCCAACTAACTTCCACAGTTAACTGGTTAATATAATATTTTTATGTGAAAAAGTAGAATGAATTGAAAATGTTGATCTCACTTCTACTACTGTAGGGGTCAGAATGATAACATACGCACGATAGAATGTAATGAACGAACTGTGTACGTTTTCACAAATTTACATTTATAAAATTTTATGACAACTAAAGCGACTTAAAACAAAATGGATCTTGTCATGCGTCAAGTTTGGTAATTCCTTAATAACCCTTGCGAAAACTTTTGATTCGGCATGCTTTACACAACTATATACGTTATAAACTGTATACACGTATTCAAGAGTGTACATATTTTTTATACAGGTTGGTCTATTAAACAGCATCAAATTATACAGTCAATTACTTTTTATTGGTTTATTGGTTCCTTTAAAACAAAACTCTCGAGACCAGCGCAAACCATTTTGTCTTTATTCCCATACGTTGGCGACTTGCTACTGTTCCATATATGAAAATAAAGATTCAAGTTTTGCAATAAATAATTCTTATGTGTATAAATCCATTTTTCAGTGGTTTCGTGATCATTTCAAGATACAGGTGTAATCAAAAATAAAAAAATACACCTACAAATTTTTGTAAAACATGGCCGTGGTGTTTGTTATACAAACAATTCCGTTTAACTATTATAACAGCATAAATTAAATTATGTAGGAATATAAAATTAAAGGTTAAATACCTTGAATAATGAATCCAATCGTCAATTAGAACTTGTAATAGCACAATTCAATTAATTGCCGTTTTATTCATATTATTTCAATGTTTCTTCTGTAATTTTGCTACGTGCAGTGAGCAACTTTATAACTCACAGTGCGTGCATCCAATTGTCGAAGTCCCCACTTCCCGTGGGTATCCAGTAAAACACAGATAAAAAACAATATCTCCTCATACGCTTAGAAAAAAAAGTTTTCAGTTTTCAAGCCGATGTTACGGACTGATGCGAATGAATTTCGCACTTTCAGATTGGAATACGCGAACAGGTTCAAATGAAATTTTTTCACAAGAGTGGTATTGTCAAATTACTGGGGTGTGAGGGGCTATGGAAGGGGAGGAAGAAGCTTTAGTTTGATAAATTTCCGAATCGGCAGTGATTCTGTCATAATCGGATTTCAAACAATTCGGTGACTATTCGCGCGGATGGATTTTTATACGAAGTACATGCAGGTTTTATTTGCGAATGTAATCGGAATTTTATTCCGGCTATTAATTGAGTCGATTGGCATTTGAACGCTGTCGGTAGTTACTTAAATTTGCTCGCAGATATGGGGAATTTATATTCGCTGAAACACCCCATTGGAAAAAACTATTGTCAATTAAAAGGAATTAAAACTGAGTTGTTTAGCGACTTATCTATCGACTGATGGGAAAATTCTGTTGACTTTTTAATGATGGACCGTATTCGTTATTTTTAACACTCGTGAACACAAGTTTTATCATCCTTGTGTCCTTAATTTAGGTTTACATTAATTTTTATATTAATCGTATTAATTAATAATCTTACTACTATGTGTGCGTTTAAAAATAAAAGAAGTAGGCATTAAAGTTCGTTCAAATTAATTTTTCTGTTGCAGTTTATAAAAAAGTCGAATGTAAAGTGATATTACATAAATCGTTTAAATGGTTTGTTTTAATATATTACTTTCGCAACAGGTCTTATGATTATATTTTAGAAATTATTCATTTTTATCACGCATAATTATATAGAACTAAATACAGACAAACGGTTTATTAAATACTAAAAAGATTTTTATGTTATTTAAAGCTTGGAATCTTTAATCCTTTAAAAATAAAATGTAATTAATATTTTAATTCTTAATCCTCAGTGCTTAAAAAAAAGATGGTAAGCTCTATTAATCCTTTATACATAATCCTTTTAAATGAAATATTACCGAATTTTCCAATTCTTAATCCTCAAAGTTGAAATATAAAAATTGAAAAAGTATGAGTGCAGCCATTTGAGTGCGGCTTCTTTTAAATACGCAGTCCGCTAACAATAATACCGGCAGAAAATTCTAAAAACCTCTGATTATGTAGAAAGCTACAGAGAAAACTCTCGCGAGGAGCCGCAGCGCCATGATTTCTAATAAACAAAAAGAGCACATGGGTTCAAGAAACGGAGTAGAATTTAACTTACCTCGCAGGTTGCACGACCATGCAATGTTTCCTCCGCAGAAATTCCAGCATTGCGTACTCGTTCCCTTCATGTTGTCCGCCAAATTGCAGCGTACGGACACTGAACAAAGCAACAACGAACAAACAGAAAACGAAGGTACAAGAGACACAAGAAAAAACAGAAAAAAATAAAACGCCAGTACGCTAACGCTATTACGCTGTTTTCGAGTTCTGAAGATAAGAGAACGTCCCGCAAAGATGGCCGGCGCGATATTGGATCTGTGGAAGTCGCAGGAAGTGACCGGGGGGTAAAAGTCAAAGCGCTGAGTAATTTATTGAAAACGAATCGCTATGTACAAACGTATTAAATACAAGTGTGTGACATTTATACAGGGATTGGTGGAAGGTTGCGTTCGAGTGTTAACCATGCACGACAGTCAATATGCTCGCCGATAACAATAGATAACTGGCCCTGTACCTGCGGCTGCGAGCGGTCGGCCTATTTACAACCCATTTCACCGTTTATATTTGCACGTCGAGATTGGCAGGTGCGTCGCGTTCGCGGGGCCAGTCGGTTCGCGACATTTATTTGCCGAAACCATAGGTCGACGGGACGAACCTGCCCCGTTTTCGTGTCTTCGCCGCGACGGATCCCAATGAATTATTGTAATACTACTCTCGCTGGAAACGATATAACGCGATTGCAAACCAGATTTAGGTCGTAGATTCAGCTAGTAGATTTCAGTAGATAGTTAGACTTAACTCGCAAGGGAAATTCAGTAAGATTTGTAGAGTGCCTCGGTAGAAATTCCAGCGTAATTCTCCTTGTGTCATTTTTTAGTTTTCCAGGGTGAAACCACCCTCTGCGCGGTTTCTCACGTTTCGTGCACGTCTTGGATACTACAATAGGTAAAAAGAAATTGTTAGAATGAAAAATTTTATGTTGTTCGAGTTTCGTGTTGCTGCATAATGATGTTGTAAAGGATATGTTCTTTAAATATGTAAACAATACGTGAAAAATATTTATCATTTTTATCATTCGAAATTCTGCGCTACGTAAAGTTCAAAAATAATTTATTGGATTTATATGATATATGTATAGAAGGAAATGAAATTTTTATTCTAACAATTTTTCTTAATTTTGAGGCTTATGTTGATCTTTGAGGGTGTTTTTGAAAAATTAAAAATTAATCAAACTGCCATATCTATTAAGATAAGCAGTTTAAGCATTAATTATAAAGTTTGTGACTTTTTTCAATAGTTGTTGCGTTTAAAATTTGTAATTTGATAATGAATTATACAAATTTCTGAATACAATCGGTTCGTAGACAATTCTTACGACCATTCATGCATGACATGTTGATTGATTGACGACCTGACTAACAATAAGACTTCTGTATTTTAGATATTGATTGGTATTACGATTGCAACATACCTATTCCAGCGAGTGTAACATGCCTACTTGAAAGTATTACTTTTGAAAGTAAAATTTGCGAGTCAATGAAAATCTGGGACTCATTGACAGTTAGTATTGGATTGAAAACAACTTGCAAAAGTCTATTCTTACGTGGACACGTAACATAAAACGTATGAACGCAAATATTGTACCTGATACCAGCGTGAATGAAGTTGTTCGCGCAGCTCTCTTTTATTATATAAATATTCTCCTGTTTTATACAATAAGGGAATTGCGTTAATGTAAACGACGGGTATTGAAAATATGTCTCTGTCGTCAGGAACTGAAATATAAATTTAAATCAACAGGAATTCTTTCGCATCGATTTATACCCTTCAGGATTAATTTATTGGTGGACAGTGATTGAAGGGAGATATTCCTGTGGCTGTTAGGCAAATCGTTCTGGATCACATGTTTTCCGTTTTGGGATATCACGATTTAAAATTCGATGTGTCAATAACTGACAGTCGATTTCGATAATTCTGCACCCATTGTTTTTGAAAGAAAAATTTCTTTTTCGTTTTTGGAGAATATAATTTCTATTCTCGAACCTTAATTGTGATATGTACTCAAAACTTTTAAAAAATGTGACTCGTGTCGTTTTGTTTCTCAACCACAGAGCTGTTTACTGCTGACACTTGCTTTAATTGGCAGTACCGTTCACAATATAACATTGAAAAAGAAACTATACGCAATAAACTGTCGTATTATAAATTATCACTAAATAAATGTTTTGCCTGATTTTAAATGACTATTAATTTTTTTTTATACTATAATAAATACCGTAAATTGAAAGCAATTATCAGCGTCGTACAAACTCTTTTATTTTTAAATTTTAACTTCGACGTTACAGGTTGCACATACACATTTATAAATGATATCATTACATAAAAAAGAAATGGATAGTATAACAACACGCACTTATATCTTCTTGGTGTATAATGACCGTTGTAATACGCAATGTTATTCTACACAGAAATTATTTGTCTTATTTAAAAATATGGCTGATGTTCAAAATGTTAGACAATTTTTTTCATCTTGTATAATAACAAATTCGATAAACAAAAAAGTCATTTAGTATACAATTCTAAAGAATATAACATAAAAGTATTCAACACTTTACTTACCGGCATTTTACTTGTTAATATTTTAATAGTAAATAATTAATATTTTTCAATTTTTCATTCAATTCTTCCACGCCAATAATTCGTTTCAAGATTATTACAAATAAATGAGTGTGGACATTTCATTTTGGTAAAACTGCAGTTTAATGCTTTTCCTCAATTCTTTTAATTTTACTATTATTCTTGTTTAGAGGGCCCTGTTTTATCACTACAACGAAAAATCAATCGGCGGGGATTTAAAAAATGTACTTTTTATTATTTAATTAAGAGAAATCGTAAAAGTAAAACTTTTTGATGATTATACAGAAAGAAAACAATCTTACCAATTGGAATGACTTTGATATTTGTTGCCAAGGTCATCATTTGGAATAAGTCTTTTTCTAAACATGTTACCGTTCATCAGCCGTAGTTTCGCATATTCTCTCTGACAAAAGTACCAGTAGCTTCGTACGTTCATTTTTTTTTGGGCATATAGAAATAAGTTTCACTTGCATAAAAAGAATCGGTGCAGGGTGGATCCCCTCTTCTACTTGGCCTAAGTAAAACTTATTTCTATATATATACAAAACAGGGTATAAAACTGCCGCGATTGACTGGGACTGTAGGAATTTTTGTCGATGAGAGTACACGTAACAGGAAACGATTGAGGGCTTATTGCTGTATACCACAGCCAACGCGATGACCGCGGGGCTGTGCTTGCGGCTGTCTCGCAGACACGCTCATATATATATATATATATATAGAATTCAATGTAGCAGTAACAAACATTTTTTAGCAATTATCTCAGAAGGTACAAGGCTATAAAACTTTTATCAGAAAAAGTTGATGAAAACATCAATTTTTATATTTGTCAATTTAATATTAACTTAATAATTATGTAACCTTTCGAACTTCCTCCCACTGATTTCTCGTTTTAGCGCTAAAATGAAATCATCTAAAAAGAAATGATAGTGAAATAGTTGAGATAGAGAAAAGATAGTAACTGCAGTTTTACCTTAATTTTTAATACATAAGCTGCCTCGGCTAGAGAAAGTCATTTACCATATGCTTCTTGGGAAATCACTTAAATATCTTAATTCAAAATGAAAATAAAAAAAATATCTAAATAATCTCCTTCAACTGGGCAGCTTGTACATATACGACCATGTGAAATGATACAATACCGATTAATAAAGTGTTAACAAACTTCACTGCAGTGTCCATTTTCATTAACCCTTTGCCATCGGTATATTTCTTTATTGGAACTACCAGCTAGTCGGAGCAAATTCAACTACTTGAAGTTATTTCTTCATAAGTGATTTATAATAAACATATGAACATTAAAAAAAAGCACAGAATATTTTGAAACTGATATATTTTGTTTAATATTAGCTGTAGTATATAAAAATAAAAAAAATTTAATTTTTACACCTATACAGACAAAACAAGATCACGCCGCCAAATTAGCGATGCCGACTTCGCAGACAAATTACAAATGACACCGATCGCAAAGGGTTACACCAGACAACTCTCGTTACGCATCCGACGCCATTGCCCATGATACCAGTCTGCGAGAATGAATCATACTCAAAAAAGCTACATTCGCTGAAGCATCCGCAGGCTACCAACAACAAAACAATACCACATTCATACCAGCATACAAAAGTCCGTACGCGCAGAAAGTAACCCGTGAGTCCACAAGAAACCAATAACGCCGCAGCGCGCAGAAATTAATAACGAAAGTATTCGAACGAATTACGCGCACACAGCACGCAGAAGCAAACATCGGGAAAGCCGAAATATCGGTCGCGATATCGGGCGAAGCGAAATTTCCGTCCAGCAAGGGAAAAAATCAGACCGGCAGCGTCGAGGCGAACACAAACAGTCGCATCGTTGATCGGGAACAGGAGGGTGAAGAAGATCCGCGCGAGGACACCCGAGCAGGCCCGCGGTTTATCGGTGCTCGCCAAAATCCGTCGGCTCGAGCGAAGATATCAATTCGGCCCCGTTGTGCCCCTATCGGGTTGCAAAAACGAAAGCTCGCGGCCGGCCGATGAAAGGGGAGAAAAAGCACGATCGTGTTTCATAACGAAGGCAGCGGATATTAAATTCCATCGGCGAATGCGGAATTCCCGTGTACGCGGCACTTCCGTGTTCCGACTTTTGTTTGCGACCGACGGCCCAAGCCGGCAGACGCCGAAAGCTGAACGTACGCCACCGCTGCGTGAATATGCGCGCGGAAAAACAAAGCTCGTTCACGGAGGAGGGACGGTCGCCCTCCGCGGCGCGCGCGGCGGAAGAACGGTCCATTCGATTTTCGAGATCCCAGTGAAATTACACTTTCGTTCGTCCTTTACAATGCCTGGTCAGCTGCATGCTCATCTAATGCATTTTTTTCATTCTTCATAAAGCGAGGACTGTAAGTTTCTACCCTTTCATTGCGGAGGGCTTTAACTTCTTCCGCTGGAAAGACGTACTGCGTCTTTTCGTCGCGTGTCTAGATGTTCGTATCAATGTTTGTATAGAAAAATGTTTGGGATGGTTGCTCCAGATATCGTAAAATTATTGTAGTTTGCAGTTTTGTGCACCAGGTTTAAATAAATAATAAAATATGAATTTGTGTACGCTAATTTGCGTTGTGTTATTTGATTACTTGTTGCGTGAAGTGTAAGGATTCGTGTATTGCCAGATCACTTGTTTGAGTTATTATAAGATTCAGAACGTTTCATTTAATGTAAGGAACTTTTCTGTGGACGTGTAGATTGGACTATGTTTTTTTTTAATGAAATCTAAAGTTTTTAATTAATTATAAAGAGCAATTGTGTTTTATTTCCTGTGAAGAGCACTAACTGTAAGGTAGAAAACAATATTAATTCTCGGTAATTTTAGTAGTAATCGGTAATTTAGAAAAGTAATTTTATTATTTCATATTCATTATCCATAAAACGATTTATTGTTATAATTTCAAGTGTCTAATAATAGTTTTCTGTTTCAATGAGATTAAAAATTATTTTAACTTAATCTATAGTAAAAATAATCACGTACCTATATATTTCACAATATATATGGTTAATATACAATTTTTGAATCACGAGCATTTAACTAAATATTAAAACAATTTTTTAACTCATCGTGAACATTAGAACCTTCAAACTCTTGTTCTTTAATTCCTTCATTTTTTAGCTCCGAATAACCTTCTTCAAATTTAACTTTGGATGATTAATGTCATTAATTTTTTAAATAAATCAATTAGTTTTCCATTGCTAGATAATTACTGTGTTCAGGTTACTTTCTATATATAATTACACGTTGTAATACAATGATAAACAATTCTCACAGTGCACTGCGGAACTTTACATTCCACACCTAAACTATTAATATTACTTTGAAAAGTGTCTAACATATGTCAAAGTTTTAATACAAAAACTATAATTTAGAATAATTGGTTGTGACTTTAATAGTTGAAGGGATGAGTAAAAATAATAGAAACCAAAATGTTAGTAAATATTTGCTGTGGATAGAGTCTGTAATTCCGCTTTTATTGAAATTAAATTTGATTACGCGAAGCCAGATTCGTCAAACGATTTTTATATACTCGTATATTGTGAGTAAATACAATGTTCCATAGATAGTTCCAATATAACCGTTGACCATTTCATATTTGACTGAACGGAGATCTCTGTGGAAAATTGTGTTGTGATATTAAACCTTTTAAAACGACGGGTTCCGATCATAATCGAAGTTTCTTCGCTAAGGTTTGCTTAAATGGATAGAAGAACGGAGAAATACGTTGACACACGACATAGATTGACGAAGTAAGCAAGCATGGCCAATGCTTCCTGTTCTCAAGGGGTCAATCAATTTTGCTGCAACTGAAGTCAAAGTATGATCCATTAGTTTCTGCAGATAAGCACCAATCTTCTTTCGGCTAATCAATCATGCTTTTTTTGAAAAACTTGTTCAAGTACCATATAATCGATGTAATGGGAGCAAGTTATTTGACCTCGATCACACAAGTAATTTTATGCGTTCTAAAAAATGCAACAAAATTTTCCACGTATAAATATTTTGACATGCATAGTGAACAAAAAGAACTAAAATTTCAAGAAAAAACCAAGTTTTCAATTTATAATCGTCATAATAAAATAGTTTTCATTGATATCGATTTGAATAATATCTTATTAAAAACAAGATTTATTGTATTATTTTGAAAATTTAAGTATTGGTCTTAAGAAAACATTGCAATATAAGGTTTAATAAAATCCCTCAGAAAAAAGAACTCTTCTAACAAAAACCACAGAAACCACCCGAATATTCAATGAGAAATAAAAAAAGGGTCCTTTGACGTATAAACATTCATCTAAGTAAAAGCAACTGTTAATAACTTTACTTGAATATTTGTAAACACTTGTTCGATGTTCAATTGCTTGGGAAAACGTGTCAATCGCCGAGCAATTAAAAGTAATTATTTCAATACTGCAATATCATAATTTGTTTCGACAATTAAATGTAATTTCACTTATGCGTTTGTTATATCCAAATTAAACTTTCGCTTCTTTTGTGTCCACTGTCAACGTACTTAAACGCAAATTAATAAAAACTGTACACAAATAATAATGAAACATTTACCTAGAGTTGTTTATATTATCCCGAGTAGCACGCGGGAAGCATATTTAATGTATAAAATTCGTATTCTGGAACGAAACCTCGTTCTTCCGCCGGTCGCGCTTCCTCCAAAGAATAAAAACGTACAATGGAGACAGTCGATTAATCACTTTCTCGGTGGAGGTGTGAACTATGCCGCGTATACTTGCGATTACGTTATTACAAACTGTACAAAGTGTTTCTCACGGCTCATAAGATTATCGCTACATTGGGAACGATTAGTTCAGTGAATTTACTTCGTTCAATGAATCTGTCGCTTAACCCTCAACGATTATTCACTTGTATATATATATATAATATATGCATATTTATATCTGTCTCTATCACTCTCTTACACGCTCTCTCATTCTTTCACTTCTTAAACGCGCGCTCCACACGGTAGGAATTCTTCCTACAAAGAGAAACACATCGTGGAACACGATCAAAGAACGATTTACGCCGGATATGTGTTCGTTTCATAATATTTACAAAACAATGAAATTCTTTCTCGATGTTATTCTCTTTCGATTTAGTACGTGAATATTTTTAATCGAAATATTTGCAACATTCACGTCCCTATCGGACATCAAATATTGCACTGTCGAATGAATGATATGTTGATGAAATGATATTCAATTCTTGATTAATAAAGCTCCTTTTATAGGTGATCCAATTTTGGCGATTAATTTTCATCGCGATTCCATCACCTGAATAGACAGTGCTGGAGCGCTTAATTATCACGTAAAAAAAAATAGTTTTCATAAAGACAGGACTCTTGTAATCTGTTAAGCCGTTAAATTTTGCATCATACAAATCCGCATGGATCTAGTAAAAAATTCATAAAAACGATGTGTAACGAATTATATTGTAATACATGTAAATAAAGCGCAAGTAATGTTGCTAAAAAAATATTATCACACAACTGAATTTAATAATTTAAATGACTAATCCAAAAAATATAAGAAGTTTGAAGAAAATTAACAATAGAAGAAATTTTAACTTAAAAGATACTACTGAATATGCACTTGATGAGTTAACTCGTTGTCTCTCAGAATTCCCACAAAAATCCCACGTATCTTCCTTTCTTTGTTTTTATGCATGGAAAAACACAAATACATTTTTCATTTCAATTTGTAGGAAGGGCTGTGTGTATACTTTTTCCCGTAGACAATTCGATCGTACAGAAGGCGCCCATTAAATCGACCACGTACGCCGCCAATACATTTCATTAAGCTCATCAAAGTAGATATGTACATCAATCCTTCGCGACACAACATGTCACGTTCTGTACGATCGACCGTGATCACTTTTCCCCAGTTATCCTTTATTGTTTTCCCTTATTGTTTCCGCGAGATTGGAACGCTCGTCACGCGCGCCGCCAAATGAATCGATTATCCTTCGTCAACGAGCCGAATCAGGAATCGACTCGTATGAGATCTCGCTCGATATTATATAGGTTCTCCTAATAGAGTGGCAGTATTCCTTACCGCTATATCGATCCTTAGCTTTATAATCATCATATTAAATTACCAACGTCACATTATAGACAATATCGTAGAATTTTCATATTCAAAATGATATCTCTTGATTAATTTATGGAGCGACGAACGTAGTCCTGTAAAAGGACTTCAATATCTATATTTGTCCTATAATTCGAAACACTGTTGTATTTTCATTGGAATGATATATATGTATGTATAATATGATGCGAGTTGATGATAATTAGTTAACCGACCGTTGGTCCTCTTACCAGAACTACTTCCAGCCGCGCATATGTACGTCATTTATGTTTCTTACGGCGATTTATATTTTATAGATTGTTGTAGTGACTGGTTAGTAGAGTAACGTCATAAATTCCATAATAACACATCGGTTTACCTTTTGTTCCAACGCCTGTTTGGCGACACAATTCGTTCTAACAGATATAAGTTCTTCATTGTTCCGCGTTGAACACCTCGGATCCAATACCCGATAGATAATGGTTCGACAAATACGTGTGAAGATAATACAATTTTCATTTTAAATATAAGAATTTAATATTCATCCGGATTATTTGAATCTGATATGAATATTGCGATAAACGAATTAATATAGATAATGTTTTGTAAAAATAATTAACATTCAATTTACTTCAGTATAATTATAATTGCACGTCATTCCAAATTTCAGTTCGTAGATTTATATTTTGTTGAGCTGTTTATAATACAAAAATTAGGGAAGAACACTAGTAAAGAATGAATAAAATTAGATCAATTGATCCTTGTTGAAAATTATGTCACGCGATAATTAAAGTACGGAGTTAGCATAAAAATTATAAGAAAATTATTGTGTCCGATATTTATTAATACTCCATAATGGGTACATTTTTTATCATTAAAACGCTTAAACATCTTGGCTAAGTAAGGTCCATAATCGAAAATGAAATTTACTAATATAAATCCAATATATATATAGTAGAAAATGATTAACTTTGTATGATTACATTCTTATGTTGAACCTTTTCCATTGTTATAATTACGATATTATAAAATTAATATTATAATATTATGATATTATGAAAAACCAAAGCCTGTTGTTACCCGGCATGAACAAGATCAGTTCTAACAAGGAAGGTTATATAACCCATTCGATTTTGATTAACTATTATAAATTCGTACAACAACTAAACAAGAAAGAATAAATATATTTTTTAATGACACATACTCAAGTTTATAGAGTAATAGTTATCCCTTGAAAATCGATGCGTTCAAAGTCTACCTCAAAAACTGTTAACCCTTTGCCTTACGATTTATTTCGATTCGGATGTTTCTGCTTACGTTACTTAGTCTTGTTCCAATTTTATTGATACAGTTATTGTAGATAAAATTGTAGTATTACAAGTTTAATTAAATTTACTTATGAAAATAAGAAAATTATTTTGTTTACGACATGGCAGATTTGTAAAATGTACAAAAATCAATTTTCGTGCGGAAAGCACGTGCAGGCGAGATTCGTCCTTTCCACTCAAGGAATTAAAATACAAACAAACGCCAAGATAACTGCAAAAAGTTAATGAAAAAATGAAGAAAACGTATTTTCATCTTAAGATTTTAGTGCTCGCAAGTTGAAATATTAATGTAATATCAAGCTATCAATAGCCTGAAGAACATGTATCTAAAACCAAAAACTGTCCTTTCTGAAAATACTCCGAAAGTAAGAATACGAATCAACATTTAATTTATGACATGAAGATGTTTTCGATGCTACCTTGAATGACCGAGATATTAGTACTTATTTACGGAGCAAACCAGAATATCTATCGGCTAAATGGAACGAGCTTGTTCTTTCCTATAAACTTAACTTCAGGTCACACGACAGCTTCTCCTTCTACATCCTTCATCTCCCCCCACCCTCTAACCATCTACGAATACCCTAGACCAGAATCACACGATATATCCGACTCCATGGTTTCGTCGGACTCGGTTTCTCGGGACAGCGACCATGTTTTGCAAATCGATAAGGGGGTTTAACGAGCACAAAACGGTCGCTCGACCGCCGAGAGGAATGCGAAGCCTTATAAACGACGTTTCGCTAATCATTTTCTTTATACTATCGATTAATTCTTCAACATTCTTTACACGCTCTATTATATATATTTATATATATCATATATATATATATATAATATATTTATAATATAGTTATACTGATAATATTATATATTCGTATATATTATATATATATATATTCATATATATATGCATATATATGTATATATTTGTATGTATATATTTATACGAATTTTATACTGCAACCTCTATTGGTATTGTCAAACATTTATGCACTTCGGTTAAGCGCACCTTAAGCTTATTAGTAGTTTCTTGGGAACTTAAAGGTAGGTGGCTCGAGGAATTTTATTCTTATCGGCCGAATATACCTTCACTTTCGTCTCCTTTCTTTTTCCCTAACGAAGCTGCCCCGTCACGGGACACTGGTTCTCCGTTTCGTTAACCGGCCCGCACCGAACAACTTAATCGGCAATCTTAAGTTTCCAAGCGCCGTGCAACTTCCGGCCGATACAAAATCTGCGCGCGGTCCGTCTGTTTCTCCTTCGTCAGCGGCGGTTAATTAAAACCTCGCCGAAAAAGAACCAACGACTTTCAGTCGCGTTTCGTTCTCGCGAAGCTAACGAACTTTGCCGAATACTTTATCGGTGTCCCATCCGCCGCTTTAACTCATTTTGAACGTCGGAGCAGCGACGCGATAGATCCTTGGTTATTGCACCTTTTGTTACGGAGCTTGTGAATGTGAAATTGTAACCGTTCTACAAGGTAATTGTGAATTTTTCACACGGAATTTGAAGACGAATTTTAAAGCTACGATGCTTGGGGACTTGCTTTATTGTATTTTATGTTCATATTTCTTTAAATAATTATTAGAAAACTATATGATACGTTGGTGCATTTACTTTAATTGTTACATTATTTTAGGATTGTAATTGACAAGCAAATTCATTGAAAAATTGATTAACAGATTTTAAACTGTTAATCGTTGAGTTTTTTAATCTACTATTCAAATCCAGTTGTATATATTCAAACTATGAGAGATACTCGATAGGAGAATTACTAAATGGCAAAGCAGAATATATTGTATTTATTCTTTAAAATGATTCGAATTTCTTTTAGTCGCATGTTTTTGAAGAGTTGTTTAATTTTTCTTTGAAGTAAAGTTTGCTAACAGAACATATGCAATACAGCTTCTATTAGTAACAGGATGAAAATAATTTCGAGAAATATTTATTTTATTTTACGTACCAATATGAAGCTGAAAACGAGAATTTATGATACAGTATAAAATTTATTTAATGAATACGGACAGACAAGCAATACAGTCTCAGGATACGGTTTACGAAAATAATTTGATTTATTATTACTTTTTATTAGATCCTTTTTAATAAGTTTGACATAAAAAACATGTTTAAAAAATTTCCTGACGTAAACTAAGAATCACGCTGTAAAAAATGTATTTGCTGGACATACGAAACACCTTTGAAATTAATTCATATAAATAAAAACTAATATTGTTTTCTAGAAATCCACACTCCTTCATATCATTATTATACATTTCTCCACTTTGCACAATTCTAAAGACAACTAATTCCAATTCTATTTCCCTTCTTTTCAAAATCAAACACAACAACAAACTTCGTCAATTAGTAATACTTTAATTCTTCCCTATTTCCAATAACCAATGATCCACCTCCCATCACTCTTCTGCTCTTAAATAACCCTTTACGAATGAGTGTTTCAAAATTTGCGAACCGTTGCTTGCGATGTTGAAAATCTCCTGCAATTATATTACGAAGGATTTCATTTATTCAACATAATAATTATATACGTAATAAGACCTTTAACACAAAAAATACAATTCTGGCAAATCTTGTTCAAAAGTCGATATTCAAAAATGTTAAATAAGCATTCGCAGTCCAGTCGCGACAAAAAAAACTTTTTTCATTTTAACTCATGAATACTGTGCATACTCTAATTCTCAACATTCAAGTTTTTAATGAATAGTATTCAGATTTAACAGTACTTAACAACGTTCACATCCACAAAGGATTAAAGCATCCTTTCTTTTAAATGTGCCAAACCCAGAAACTTTTTTCTCAAAACAAAAGCCGGTATATAAAACAGCATTCCTCGACGAAAAGAAACGGACGGATGCGCTGGGGCGCAAGAAATAACATCCCGGAAATAATTAACTTCTTGCCATACAATTTTCTTCGCGACTATGCCTGTTAGATCTTATTACCATTAATAACTATTAAATTTACCAGATCGAAAACAAATTTTCTGTTCACTGTCAAGTGTGCATTTGCTTTGAAGGTAAAACTTTGATAATAATAAAATGATCTTTCACTTGGAACCTACGTGCAACGAAATAACATTGACTTTTATTAGACCGACCTGGAAATTCTTATCGCGTGCCTCATTCGTCATTATATGGCAAGAGGTTAAAGATGGCTTTATACAAGACCGTGCCGTGGCTATTTCGTCTCAAAGCTGAGTCCGTGTATCAATGCATTAGTACTCGCGTACGTTTAGAGATCATCCGAGGCGTCATTTTTGACGAAAGAGTTAGCTATCATAGCCATGCTCTTGGATGAAGAGAAAGAAGAAGAAACGCAGCAAGGAAAGAGAACGTGATATAGTGTTCATATGTAGTGGCAGAAGCCTAAAGAAAAAGGAGAATTTGATATTTACAAATAATTAATACATCACGAAGAAAAGTCCCGTGAATGTTTTAGAATGACTCAATATTGCAATACTTAATACTACAAGAGAAACGTCTTTGAGTCAATACTTTACGGATAGGACATCTACAAATGTTCATCCATATTCGTACTATGGCAGTGTCTTTCCGTGGCCCGGCTGGTAAACCGGAGAAATATCGATATCAAATACGACCGGGCATGCCTGGATAGCAACGGACACGGCACAGACATATTAGGTTGCCCTATAAGTTTCTCTCGTGCCTTTGCAGTGTCTATTATGACAGATGTTTCGGAAAGATTTCCGAAGAGATGAAAGAAAACGATCAAAGTAGATTGTGCATAATTCAAGAACATGACACGAAACGTAAAGTATAGTGCATCCATTGAGTATGAATAAAACGAAAGAAACATTCGAGCCAGTCTAATATAAACAGTTCCGTGTAAAACTACGGTAACCGATTTGCGCTCGAAGTGCGACTGGAACACGATACAGACACGGCGCGGTCTTGTATAATTGGACCTTTAAGCGACGCGAAGAACGTCGTGTCTCCCACGATCCAGAAAGTCTGGGCCACGTGTACTCCGAACGTGACGCGGGTGTCGTTGGCGGTGGGTATCGCAAGCTTGTTTGCCGACAGTATTAATTTCAGGACAGCGTGTGTGCGATTTATCGAACGTGCTCATCGACTATTGGCCCACGATAGGAACGTCCCGTTTCGTATCGAGCGCCGGAATCATCCTCCGACCTCCAGTCCAACTATAAATACAAATCCGTTCGCGTTCCTGTTAATCGCGGCGTAAACGCGCGCGATGAACATTGTGCACTCTTGTGTACCCCTCCAGGGAAACTCGGAAACCTCGTTGATTACAAGCGTTCGGTGAAACGCGAGTTTCTCGGATGCGAGTCGCGCGAATACTCCTCGCGGTCCAGCGATCGCTCGGTGTATTAAAACGATCGCGCTAATGAAGTCGCGGTGACCCGCGCGAGAACTCCGGATCGTCGTGTAGAAAATTGATGTTTGAATCGTCAGTGACTAAGATCACGCGGTTCGAACGGGTTCGCAGTGGCAAATCGATGAACTGCTGCAAGATGATCGTGAACGGCGATTCTTACCTACCCCCCTGGATGATCCGAGGATCGTCTTCTCTCGTACGATTCGGTCATCCTAGGTACTAACTTGGTCTGGTTTGTTGGTGGAGCTTGGTCGTAGAGGGGCTGTGCCACCAATTTCCGTTCAGCTCGCCGATCATAGAAAGCCGGATCAGATTCCAGCCTTCCAGTTCTCTGTATCAGGTGTCGTTCGAGTCGCCGTGCTTGTAGCCGAGGTTCTTCCGTTGCAGAAATAGGTGGATCTCACGGAAGTTCGGCCGGTCCGCGTCGTTCCTCTGCCAGCACTCGCGCATCAAGTCGTATACGTCTTTGGGACAGTTCTTCGGTAACGGTAGGATAATCTGTGAATCAGAACAACAACGAATGCTAAGCACAGTGGTACCTTGTGTAACGCGAACTAAAAATTTAGATGTTGTCTCCATATAACGCAGTTAAAAAATTGCTGACAAATAATTGTAAAAGTGAGATTCCTCGTAAAACGATAATATATGCAGTCAGTAGGAAATGAGCAATATACAAATTCTATAATAAAAACTGCAGAAAATGAAGAAAGCAAGCTAGTATTTAAACGTGATATGGATGGTAGTTAATTTTAAGTGATTATGATAGTGAATTGATTTTATTTTCGTTTACCTTTTCGCTTTAAAATCTTCCACATATAAAATGAAAACATTTTATGTTCTTGTTGTTTTAAAATAAATTGCATATTATTTCCTGTTATATTAAAAAAGGTATTTATTTCATTTAATTTTTGAAGCTCTTTGTTTTGTATAAGACGAACTTGTAATTATTGTAGTTTTATTAATAATAATTATAACTATTGTAACTTTCAACATTGAAACTTGTAAACTTACATCAAGTAATCAATTTTTTTAAATAAAATGGCATTCGAATAAAACAGAATTCATTAAAATTGGAATTTCTTTAAGTAATAAGAGAAACTATCTTTGACATTGGTATAAGTACAGTTTATAAGATAACTACACTTATATGAAATAAAATTATTTTTGATTTATTCTGTTTAGAAATGAGTACTATGAAATAAGCCATTGAAACTGATATACAACAGAAAATATAGAATAATTTAATAGATAAAATATACAATTGTATAAAAATTACTTTTTTATTAATAAATTGAAATTATTACTTTGTTATTGCTTAGAGTACTTCATTGTGATTGAAAGTAATTCGCTTTCGAGAAAAAATAAATCAGTGCTCGAACATTCTGAATGGCAGTGAACGTTTGTCGCATGTATATTTCACGCACCGGTATATACGGTCTCATAAATCGACTGTTGAAATGTTTGTTATCCAGTTCTGCAGACCTACACTTCCGTCCATATGTCATCGGTCACTTACATAAATTTCATGAATAATGAAATTAAAAAATAGTCAATAATTCTGTGCAGTATACAGAGAATATGTTTGTTACATTTTAAAACAACTGAATTCTAACTAAACACGATGGTAGATCGGTAAATTTTAAAAATATTTTGTTAATAAATTCGCTGCAAACTTTTATTATCTTCTCCTGCTCGCTTTCTTATTATCTTAAAGAGAGTATCAAATTATAAGAAATAAAGAAAATTATCCCATTTTTCTCTACAAGTTACCAATTGCTTAAAAAGATGGAGAAATAGAAGGACATCAGAAGATTAAGGATAAGGAAATAGAGGATTCATCGGTAATACTATTACCTTCAAATTGCGAGATTATGTTAAATTATTTTAGGAGAAAATATTATTCTATTGTCAAATACGAAATCGTTCATGTTGAATGAGGAGCTATTGTACTTATAGAATAAGAATAAATTAAACTAAAATACTCTTCAAATAATTTGAGTACTTTTAATCATTTAGCATATCCGTAGGCATATGGAGGTAAATATTTAAAAAACTCTTCTATAAACTTTTAGTTAAAGAAAAAGTTGTAGAATAAAAGTTTATAAAAGATTTTTAAAATATTTACCTCCATTTGCTTTCAATGCTTCTAATGTTCACATTTCTCAAATACAAAGCAATTATTGAATTAACAGATATTTTAATCAGAAAAAAATGAAACGGGAAAAAAGTATTGATAAAGGAATCAAAATTTAACGCGGAAAGTTTGGGGAATGTTTAATGTAATCTAAGGATTCATTGTTGACATTTAAGTTAAGTATACGGATGGAGTGTGAAAATATCGAAGAATTCTTACCCTCCTCTCATCCTCCTGGTAAAAATACGTCGCGTTCTCAACGATACGATGGTCGGGTAGCTCCTCGAATGGTTGCTCCCTGGCGAACGTTAAAATTTCCCAGAGCGTCACTGCGAATGCCCAAACATCGCTTTTTGTCGTGTGCCTTCCCTGTTTACAACAAATCGCAACAAAGCAATTCATTAAACCTTCTCAGATCGTAAAATTATTCATTTATATATACTTAATACATTAATAAATTCGATAATCTTAAATACAATTATATTATTTAATACTTCACAGAACGAAATATACTTTAGTACCATAATTCATAATTAAGTGGCTCTTAATAAAGTTTATTATTTCAATGAAGGATAGAATTTAAACTTGTTGTTTACGGAATTTTATTCTGAAAACAAAGTAACATGTAGTAACAGCTTTACATTTATTTTTTATAAACGATATACTCTGCATGATTCAAAGAAATAAATACTCCTTTAGTTAATGGATCTAAATTAATGGAATCTTTGATTTTGATAAGATTTCTAAACGCGTGATAATCCATTACATTAGATTTACTAAAAAAGGAACCACAAGTCATGTAGATTCCACTTTCAAAAAGTTTCTAAATCGATCACTCGATTAATTAACTGCTATAATTTAGATTAATTAATTACACTGTCCTGGATGGTTAAAATTAAATATTTTTAAACAAACTTTAATAGAATTAACTGACTTCACCTTGGATTCGCACAATATGTAATGTAATAGATATAAAAGGTAATTTTTATCAACACCACCATATATACCAATTTTTATTTTCGAACCATCTCTAGAGAAACTCACCAGTAAAGTCATAAACAAGCAATCGCTTTGAAAATATCAGGCGCCAAAATCGTTCGATTTTATTTCAACGTCGCCTCTACTTCTGTTATAACACATACCCTTTCATATCTATACAATTTCCATTCAGTATCCGATTCCGATAAAATCGATAGTTATGGAGCAGACTGTCATCGAGAAATAATAATATAATGTATATACATGTGAAAATATTTTGTGAATTGAGAAACGGAACCAATAATCCTATGATACTCTTCTTTGTGGTACTAAGGATTCAAGTACTCCTGACGCATTGTCACGGGAAAAGGAGTCGGCTAACAAGACGACTACCCCAAACTGTAGATTATCGATTCATATTTGCCTGTCGCGAGTAAAAATATTTCTGAAAAATCGGTAGGATAGTTCGAATGTCAGGTGATACTTATTTTACCTACCGGAAACATGTTAACACGATCAACCAGTTAACTGCGTCTGACGAGTAAACACGTCATCTTAAAACTCTAAATAGTGCTACCTTTTCAGCTAATAAACTATTTATTTTCTTAGACAAACATGTAATTCTTCTCCGTTTCGTTTTATATTATAAGTGCGTTTGGCCTGCATTTGACGAATATACACTTCCTTATTTGATTTTATTGTGTGCATAATAAGAGATTTTTTAAACTAAATTCCACACTTAACTGGTTAACCCGGCGCGTTTTCATATTTCATAAAGCACAACTTGTAAAGCAACGATGGTCCACGTTGGGTTGGACGTGTTAGTAATTATTAAGATTATAATCTTATTTACATCTGTACTATCAAAAAAATTAGCTTAAAAATTTTCTTTTTCCACGGTTCAAACAGAAGTATGAAATACATATATTCCCTTATCACCAAATTTTGTGTTATTTATGTCTGTATTAAAATCTTACGTTTAAAATGTATGGAAAACTCAGTATTTTAGTATTTCTGGATTGTAAGCGAAGAAATGCTTAGACAAATAACAATACAGAAATACGCACTTAATAGAATAACATAATAGTAATCATATTACATGTGTTAATAGGCATACACAACTTTAGATACCAGTTTATAAGAAAGAAAAGAAAGTAAAAGTGAATTTTTCTCAGTAGGCTCTGTCTTCTTCGTAACGACACATTTTATACAATTTTACAAAAGTCATTATTTTACTGTAATCTTACAGATTAGGAGAAACCATAAATGTATAAACATACGCACTTTAAACATATGATAATACAGCTGTTTAGACAACAAGGGGACAATTTTACGATACGGGAAAATATTCATAGAGACGTTCATAACCGTTAGCTTTACATTCGGTACTTTAGCAGGCCGGCCTGCAGTCAATATGCGGCACATAAAGGTTCAGCTTGGAGATCAACCATTGTCTATTTTTTCACTTCAGCCCAGGTATCGTAAAGTCGTGTTCCATAGGGTCCGTTAAAAATTCAGAATAAAGTGTCCTCAAAGATCTTGACCTAACGAATTTCCCTAACGTTGCCAAACATTCGTCCAGCGTGGCGACCAACTCCATCACCCCCGCTCCAGGGAAATGCCGCGCTACGGGCATACTGGAAGGGGACGATACAGGAGTGGTTATCATACTTAGGAAGGGATGGAAAAACGCCCCTGAGGCCCACCTTCGTACATCGAGAGGGAGGGAATGGGCCCAGGAGGATTATAAAAACCTTTCAGAGAGTTGAGAATCAGTCAGAGTTTGGAATCAGACAGAAACAGCATCAGTACAGTTAGAACACAGTTTAGAAACAAACCAGAATCAGAATCAGTTGAGAATTAGAAACAGGAATACGTTCAATCAGGAACACGTTCATTTAGCATTCAGGAACAAATTAGAATCGCTTCAGAAAACCTCCATTCGGGGAGGTACATCATTCAGTCAATCAGTCATTAGAACTCTTAGTCTCAACATTGGGTGGTCCTTCGAGAAAAATTCAGCATATACTCAAAGGTGCTCGAGACAATCTAAGTGCTGTACATTTGGTCCTTTGAGCCGGATCAGCGTTCACGAGTGCTTAACAAAAGCAATAGTGTGAAGTATTATATTTGATACACTGGTGATATGGTAATTCGTAATAGTGTAATGATACAACGATAGTATAATAATAGTTATAATATAACCATAATATTAAAGTATTCATGTCCACAACATCATTCACAAATTAATCCGATATCACATAAATGCCATCCGGCGATAATGCGAAATTAATTCACCGTATGTATGAGCTAATAATACACACTAATTAAGCAATAATGTAAGTGATTAAATTACATTACTTGAGATGATTTCTTGTTCAATGATTCATTAACAATCCACATTATTATGAAAAGGCTTATCAAAAAATTACAACCTGTTGATCAGCAATAATTAAAAATCAATCAAACAACGCCATCAATGCGTAAAGTCTCGTTCGCATACGACCTTATGTAAACGCCTCCACCATGAAACGTTTACTCTCCTCCGCCGATCTCTCGCGATGTCACCGACGCGTCTTGCGGTTAGCTCGGTCGGCGGTCGCGTATTTCTCTTCCGCGAAAAAGCCGACGGACCGAGAAACAGCACGGAAAACCGAGGAGAATTCCGGGCAGGTGCCCGGCATCGTACCGCGAAATTCGACGGGAAATCAACCGTTCGATTCGACCTCGGCGCAATTAATTAATTCACCTTCCTCCCACACCTAATCAATCAGACCGGGGGCCTCGCGTTAAAATACAACGGAGAGAGTCATAAATAAAACATTCCGGCCGCGCTGTGCCGCGCCGCGGCGGGGAGATTGACTCGGTAATGGCGTCGATTTTTCATTATCGTCAGATCCGACCGGAAAAATGAAGTGCACTGCGAAGGGAGAAGGAAAGAGGTCGGTTAGAGTACGCTGCACGCTAGAAGATTTTCCTCGTCACCTGGCCGTAAGGGTGCCATTCGAAGTTGAAACCGATTTACGGGGACGTCGAGCGCGCGCCGCGGCAGGTGGTATCGTTGCCGGGCGAGAAATTACTCCGACGTAAGTGCTTTAGTTACGTAATTTCAGGGAACTACTCCATCCGGGGGTAAAGACTGTACACGCACCCGACGAGTTTACGGATCACGCGCCCTCCTAGAATCTTATAAACGTACTTCATCGTGCGCGAGAGCGTGTGTATACGTCCCGGGTACGATTTCTAATTAGCTCGCTAACGTACTGCTGCCTAGTGCGTAGTACGAATCGATGCGATACAGTTGAGTGCAACTTTGTCTTGACTCTGGGTAGACTAAATGGTGGCTTTTCGAGTCACAGAGATACAGGATGTTAGAATGTATTATTCCGTATGTGTAGAATTATTAAGAATTCACGATGTCGTTCTATAGAATAATAAGATTAACGTTGAAGTGAATTTAGTTGAAGTGAAGATGGTGTTTAAGGTTATGAGAAAGGAAGAAACAAAAGTCGAATGAATGGGCGTTCTTTATTGTGTCAGTATATGTTGTGTTGCGAAGATCTCTTATGTATTGGCTGTGTTTTACAGCTCTTGTAATTATTTTTTAGTCACAAAATAAAACTAACAAGAATATACAACATATTTGGTGCAATATAAATGACACGAATTACCTTTCGGTGTTGTATCATTTACAGATATGCAGTTATTATACTTAGTAAGAGACATCAACTTATCTATTCTATGTTTAACATATTTTGCTACATTGCGTAATGTTTATTCTAACAACAAGTAAACCGTATATAATTTCTTAACACTTTCGCGGCGGGAAACATAGTCCTACATCGTTTGAAAGTTTTTAGTAGGATACGTGCAACGTAATCCTACGTTATTTCAAATTCCGTAGCTGAGCTTTATTAAAAAACAAACTTTTTCTCTACGCATTTATAATGTTTAATTTTTTAAAACATTGAGCAACCAATGACTATAAGTATTATAACTATAAGTATTATATTCACATATCTACAAACAATACAACCTTGCCGTATTCAGTTACAGACTTTTAGAAATTATATGCTCGTATTCGGCTAAACGTTTTGTCCGGCTATCGCCTGTCGCGAAAGTGTTCATTTAATGTATTGTAGCTTAAAATATGTCAACTGAATTTCATGACAATATAAATTACTCCTAATAATTTCACTTTTAATGTTTGTTAAATATTGTAAATACATTATACAAATAGGTAGACGAACACTTTTATGACTAACATTATATATTACATAAATATATACAAATAAATCGTTATACAATTTTAATTTGCATATCAAAATAAGTTTTCCTAAACAAATTTGTATTTTAATCTCGAATTTTTTGTGAAATTCCCTTAGTATGCA